TGAGCCCAAACCATCCAAACAAGCTCTCTTCAGTATGGAGCAGCAGACTGCAGTCCCTCTGATTGATATTTGCTGGGATCGCTGAGCTTGTCATCCTGTCAGAAAGGCTTAACGCAGCAGAGAAACACCACCATCATCACCATCACCATCCTCATCATAACTCTTTTGATCCCAAAATATAACTTTAGTCAGACAAGGACTGACTGTCAAATCAAGAGCTTTTATTTTCTTGCACAGCTCCATTCATTACCACGCTCTGAATGTACGTTGCCGCCGTCACAGCATTTACAGATGTAGCGAATCTCACAATTTGACCCGCGCCGGTGAAGACGGATAAACTTTTCCACTTGGGGCAGCTGCTCGCCCCTCTGTCTTGTTCCAGATATAGATGTATTCTGATTCGAACCAGTGCTCAGTACAATGCATGAGGCAAGAGAATGTCATTCTCTGAAGATGCACTGCCCAAATATCAAGGCACAGCAGGCTCCTGGATGCTCTCCAGGCCTCTTGATATCCCGTCCACGAATATATCCCAAACACTCGGTAGGACAATGTACCTCTTTGTCGGAGACTAACCTCTAACTTGAATGAACAAGAATGCAAACATGCTGTATCTGTAACTCTCTGACGGTGGCGTTCATGAACATAAGAGTGAATGAACGGCAATATCAGAAGCAGCCCCAATTCCCCAAATGCATCCATAGGATTCTTTGGCGAGTATAAGCCTTTTTTTTTTTTAGTCATTTCTAAAGTTGTAAAGGCTGAGCCACCTTTCTGAGATAAGGACAAATCAACACTTTTTAAAAGTATTGGCTCAACATCCAGTCAGAGTGTCCTTTACAGTTACTTAGCACTTCCAAAGAGGCTGATCTTTGATAGATAGAACTCACCCTTTGGGCCTTTTTTTTTTTTCCAAAGACCACCACCCAGACCTCCGGGTCCGACATCACTCTTCCTGAAGTCTCATTGTCATTTGAGAGGACTATCAACCATGACACCTTAGATATCCGAAGCCCTCATTACTTCAGCACAGATCTTGTCCACCTCTGGCACCTTCCCACTGTGGAGACCTCTGCGACGACCTCTGCCAAAGAGATGAGCAAGAAGTTTCTTACGAATACCTCAGTTATCAGTCATTTTGAAGAAAAAGCTAAACAACCTGAGGGTTTGAAGTGATGTCACATCACTCTGTTGTGGCAGGAGTGTTTTCGAGTGTGGTCACTTTTTGCTTTTTGTTTCACGAATACTGGGGTACTTCAAAAAGTCCTCGGCCTTACCCAGAAACAAGGGGCATTACTCATATTTTGGGGCATGGCTGTGTACTATAAAGCCTTATATCACTGCCTACAAAAACTCTAATGTTTGAAGCAATCAGAGAAAAAGGCAGAGGGAAGCTTCAAGCTGGCATCGAAGACAACGTGTCCATCTACGTAGCAAAGGTGGCAGAAGCAACCAAATGTGGCTTTGAACTCTTACCCCATGAACCTTATTCACCAGACCTGCACCATCTGACTTTTATCTGTTTCCCAAATCCTACTTTTGCATGTTTGCCATTTTGAGATTGATGATGAAGTCATGCATGCTGTTGAGGAGCATCATGAAGGGACACTAAAGCTTGAACATCAATGGACCAAGTGCATTGAAGTTAAAGAAGACTATGTAGATAAGTAGTGCAAGAACATTCTTTCTCCTGTGATAGTTTTTAGTGGAGCCAAGTACCTTTATGAAGTACCTTTGTACCTCAGGCATTAAACTCCAGATTTAGTATTTTCCATTCTGCATGCTTCCCTACTACAGTAGCGCACTACACTTGCTTGCACTTTTACCCACAAACCTTTTCTCCTTCTTCGAGCAGCCGGCCAAAATAGATTTCCATAAACAGTGCAAATCACTGAAGCATACAATCAATAGAGTGCATAAAGGATACGCACCATGAGATGTAACAGATCCATATGTTACCTTTTCCCTTTTCATTACTCATTTAAAGCCACGAAAGTTCTTTCTCCCTTATTGCGGCGGCTCGGTGACAAGCCGGCAGCATGCGATGTGACGAGGGATGTAGATGGCCAGAACAGGGTAATTGCTCTGGTATCGGGGGGGACGGCACCAAATTGGAATGAGTCCTGGAGGCTGGAGCCACGTTGATTGAGAAGCAGCAGCGTTGGCGAGAAGGGGCAGTCGTCCTCGGTGGGAGCACAGATAAGGAGGGCACAGACAGAAAGACTGGGGAGACCCAGGCATCTATTAGGAGAGTGTGTGTGGGCTGCTAGCAGGGATGGAAGCGTAAGCAAGAGGAGGAGGGGGGGGTCAGAACAGCACCAGTTTCCTCTGTAATGAGCTGAATGAGTGTGCTACGTCTAGTTTGGCCCTGGCGTGGGAGGCTTCTTCCACCTCACCTTGGGGCCCTGCCATTGTTTCATCAAAGCTTAATGATCCTGCATGTAGTGTGACAAGCACAGGGCTTTATTAGTGACACTGTGCATTCATACAGGGCATCATTATAATGAATGTGCTGCACAGGCCAATATATTAGAAAGCATTTTGACAGTGGTATAAATCTAAGTGTGCTACAAGTCAAGAAAAAGCAAATGTTGGTCTACCTTCGGTCTCAACAAGCACTCGAAGGGCTTCCCCACCGAGGGCTGGCTGTATATAATTAGCATCAGTTGCATTTGAGATGCTGGAAACTGCATTTAATGCAAGCTGAAGAAGCTTAATTACGAGTGCACCGAGTAATCAGATGTCACAGGGAGTAGCAACAACTATTAAATCCCAGAGCAATGCTTATTTTTTTCGCAACATGAGGAACTCTTCTCTGTGAATAGAAAGGGATTTTCTAACTATAGAGTGACAGCTGTGTAGCTATTTTACCTCCAGATAAATCGGAATGAGAGGGCGTTTTGCATGCTACCCCATTATCCCGGAGACCCCGAGATAATTAAAGGGAAAGGAGGAGTTTGGGATGATCCTTGGATCTTGATGCACAGCCATGGAGTTTGCCGTTCAAGCACCACTTGTGATCTCTCCAGGTCTCCACTGGGGGACGGCGGAGGTCATGACACTGCCCAGCTTGATCAAGCATTCCTCTGTCTTTTTGTTCCCCATAGTTTTCCTCTCTCTCTCTCTCTCTCTCTCTCTCTCTCTCTCTCTCTCGCTGGTGTGCTTTCGGGGCTGCCAGTAGTTTCTGCTATATTGTGTCCCAGCCTTTGATGATGCTAAATTAAAATCGTTTCTTGTCTTTTAATGCGCTGACAGAGAAAATTGGCAGTACAAGTTAGTATGATAATTAATATCCACCGCATTTTTAATCACAGATTTTTCCACGTTGAAAATCCTGCACTGTTCAACCCTACAAAGCACACGTAGGGACACACAGATGTCAGTGTCTCTATGATGCATGGTAGCCAGCCTGTTTTCTTTATCAGTGCGGCGTACTGTACTCTTCGGCACGCTCCCAGCAACATACCTCCCCTGACTCTCAGATAAAACATGGGGTCTGTCACACAGACTTGTGCTGAGGCCCGGCAGGGGAGCCCTAATGATTGCAATAAAAAACAAATGCAAATGATTACCTTGGGGTTCCCTCTTGTGTGGAATCTGTCGCTCAGCCTCTGGCTGTCAGGATGGATCACTGCCATCGTCTGTGGACATGGAGTGTTAGGAAAATAAACACCAACTGGGCCAATGCAGGCAGCAACAATGCAATAACGGTAATACTATTATCTGTTACATTGTAGGGCGGCAAGCTAGGACCATTTTTGTTAAAGAATGATGGGTCACAGCTGAGCAGAATCGCACCCTGCCACTCGTAGCCATCAAATTACTTCAGTTGTGAGTTTGGATATTAAACTGTTTTTCAGCCTCACAAGCACTCAAAAAATTACTTTTGTGTGAATTCAAAATAATATTTTTCATGCTTAATATTTTCTCTGTTGTGTGAAAACTATATTTCACAAATAACTTTTCACACGACAACAACAAAAAAAAGAGAAGCCTGTTTTAAACTTTGTGACAATCCTTTTCTCTTGACAAATGAGCTGCTTTAATGATTTTCATTTTGTACTTTAACCCCACTTTAGCTATTTGGTAGCCATGGTTACTTCTCAGATTTTGAGGCGAACAGTGTGATATGGAGACAAATGTGATGCAAACTGTCAGCCAGTAACTAATATGATGCAGTTAAAATTAGCTCAAGTCAAATATTAGGAATATGTAAATGCATCAAAAGTACTACATTGTATTACTTATGGCTGGATTGTGAAGCTTCTTTCATTTGTAATGTTTTATTTTAATATTTCTGTAGTGCAGCTTTTACCAATCTGAGCCTCTTCATTTATACACTCTTATGATTTCTAGTAGCTCCAATTTAAGTATTTCCATCCATCCATCATCTATACACCGCCTAATCCTCACTAGGGTCATGGGGGGCTGGAGTCTATCCCAGCTGAGTCAGGGTGAAGGCAGGGGACACCCTGGACAGGTCACCAGTCTATCACAGGGCTACACTTAGAGACAGACAACCAAGCACACTCACATTCACACCTACGGACAATTTAGAATCACCAATTAACCTCAACATGTTTGTGGACTGTGGGAGGAAGCCGGAGAACCCGGAGAGAACCCACGCTGCACGGGGAGAACATGCAGATGTCCTCACCGGGACGCGAACCGGCGACCTTCTAGCTATGAGGCAACGGTGCTAACCACCGAGCTACTTTGCAGCCCAGTTTAATTCAATGTAACTGACACAATACATACATTTCATGGTATTTCATGCAACACATCAGACATAATATTTACAACAACACAACTGCATCTCTGCAACACTAAAGAGAAGACATTTTCTCCACTAGCAAATGTAAGTCATCAGATACAAAATTGTATTAGAACTTTAGAAAATTTCTACCAGTATATTCAAAAAAATGCACTGATAAATACATCTGTATACATATATGTATGTGTAAGGTGTGAATACGCAGTTGAAACTGTGCGACAAAACGTGAATTTATGCGCAGAGCTTTTATTTTTGAGAATTTTACAGTTAGTATTCTGGTCAAATTTTAGCTCCAGTGAAATTTTACTAGCACTGCTGTGCTTACAAAATAATAGATAAGACCAGAAGGTTTTATGTTCTTCACATTTCGTTCCCAGGTCAGGCTGTGAAAGAGACAAATGCATCCTCTTCCATCCACTTTGTCACCTTGAGAATCATCAGCAGTTGTATTTTTTATTTTTTTTTCTTTCACTGCAGGCAGAGAAAATGGAAATTAGTCCCGTGGTTGTTGTTGAATGGCCAGAGTTCAATTTGAAAATGTTTTGGCTCTAGTAGGTCATAACTAAAGTGTTGAGTCAACACAAAATAAGAGGCTCATATAAAAAGGGATTTTATTTTCTAAAGTGTGTCAGGTTTTCGGATTCAGAGGACGAGGGAGGTCAAACCAAACAAGAGCGCAGATGCACTGAACAGTATATCACTCTGTTGAAAAAAAAAAAAAAGAAAAGGAAAGAAAAAATCACGTCTGCTCTGAAATTAGGCCTTAGGGGCTGCATGTTCCATGTGAAATCTCCTTTGCTGGTCCTTGGTGAACTGAGCAGAGATGATGTTGGACCTGGGAGTAAAATCTGCCTCAAGCCTTCCATCAACAGGTGAATTGCGGTTGTAGAAATGTGAGATTAGTTCAGGGAAAGGTGAGGAAGACTTTCTCTGCAGACAGATGGATCATGCATTGTCTCTGGTAAGCATTCCACAGTGTAAGCCCCGCTAATCCTACCAGGCAGGATGTATAGCTTTTGTTGCATTTGTCTTAAAATAGACAGCTTCGTAGCGAGAGAACGCCCATAATGCTTAAATAACTTACACAGAGGTTCAGTGTACAGTGATTCAAGGTCAACAGGAGACTCCGCCGATGTTTGTACCGACCTATAAAATATAAAATAGTAAGATTACAAGCTTGAGATCACATTACAGCAATGAAATACAAACATACCTGCAGCCGTATTGCTGCAGCTAGAAATGCCTGCTTTTCTATTTCGGCTATTTTTACGGTGTGTTGTAGTTATTTGGTTGTTTGGCTCCTCCGGGGCTCAAGGTGGCTATCGGTCAAAACAATCTAAACAACAATTTTATGATTGATTTGTCATGCAGTTATATAAGAGGCTGATATAAAGTACACACACTGCATCCTGGGAAAGGCGGAGAAAGCGATCGTATTGGAAATAATGATGATTCATTTGTTGTACAAGGAGAAAAACAATATCAAGGATATTTTGGCTCATTTTGCTAATGATGTCTCCATCATTAAGCATTTTCAAATGACCAGAAAGATACTAAGAAGTGCTTCTTAAAACATTACAAACTCCTTCTCGAGCGTGACTCTAAGAAAAGATGCTTAACTTCACATGCCTCCCTTTATATTTTGGGAATGTATTTGTCATTATGAATTATAGCAAATGAGCGCGCTATCCACACTGCGAGAGCGGAGAATTACAATGAAACATAATGCCATTAGGACGGCTCTCCAAGTTTTAGGTGGACTTAACTGTCGGCTGGAATGACTTTTCTAATGAACTAAATTTGAATAATGTATTCGTGGACAGATTTGGAGCGCTGATATGGTGATGATTAGGATATATGACTAAAGACCAGATGCGGCAAACCACCTCTGTGTGATGCATGACACATTCACATGATTAATGATGACTGGTGACGTTTGCGCTAGGTTACTCAAACAGCGGCTTGTCGTCTCCTCAGACAGCTCCTCTTACAGAGATAAACCACGCTCAAGTATTCTCTGAGAGCATGTGAGATGGGAATCTTTACCCAGCTCTTAGATTCTGCTCAGCACTGGGAGCTGGTAAATTTAAGGCACACGATGCTCTAAATTTTTTTTCTTTTTTTTTTGCTTACTGATAAAGAACTGTGGGGATTTTTTAAGCATGCCGTTTGCTCATTCAAGAAACACCAGCATACATATGTATGGGCCTGTTTTGATATCCTACAACATATGCATGTGTTGAATCAACAGAAATTCAGGGCAGAGTCGCTGATGTACAATTTATGAGGCCATAGCCAGAGAAGTGAATGTGCTTGACACGAAATGACCTAATGGTACTTGTGTTTTCTGGAATGAGCCTCACTGTTATTCAGGCCTGTGTGCACAGGACCTCACCTCGGAGGGAAAGGTTGCATCGCCACTCAATATCTGAGATGCTCCGGCTGCCTAATAAGTTGTGAGAGAATAGCAAAGATATGTGCAGCACACAAATCAGGGTCCTTTCATTGCTGATAATGTCCTTGAGGACTTTGTGGCGACTATAGACAGCAGGAGATTAACCCAGCCGTGCTCAGACACCTGCAGAGAAAACGCTCCATCCCGCCTTTTTAGTTCCTGTAATCTGGAGATGTGGATCACACTTCTAGCAACCAATTAACAAAGGCCATTACACTTGAACCTAGTGTTAAGTTGTATTTTCAGCATTGGGGAGAGTGTACACGCACACACACACACACAAAATGGAGATCAATATGATTTGTCATTCAGTGAAGCGCTCGTCCAATAATAGAGGATTTGTTTGTGTTACAGAGACACCTACTGGTCTGCGTCTCCGTCGAGGTTTCAGCAGTTAGTGCAGGAAGAAAAGGGCTTTTGTGAACTTATAGAGTGTAAACGTGGCGTCTGATCGCGTCCCTTCGTTGTCCACACCTGAAAGACGGACAGACAGAGTGTAAGTTTTGTGTTTGTGGAGCTCGTTTGTGCTTTTTTTTTTTTTTTTTCACACGCGGCAAACAAAGGCAGATGTGTGTAGATTGGGATTTAAGATTCTGATTTAATTAGCTTTGACTCTTGGGGCTGCCTCTAAGGTAGTTGCTCCTACATGCTGGAAAACTCATTATGGATGAATTAATGAAGTGGGACGTACACTTGGCATCATCCATGTGGCATGCGCTGATGCATTATGTATTATTATTATTATTTTAGAGCATGAGCAAATCAAGTTTGTTTGTTGGTGTGTATATATCGGGGACAGCTACAGAGGAGCATATTGATTCTAAAATCACTTCATATGACACTGAGGTGTTGAGGCGCGCTCTCATAAACCAGATGCTGTTATCTTCTTCATATCCTAAAATACAACCATGCAGAGTACTGTTGTTATTGACTACCTGTGATTTGCATAACAGCGTTAGCACTCTCACACCCTCCTGCATTAAGTAATGTTCACTTCACATTCCTTTTATTGAGCTAAGGAAGGTTCTTTTTTTTTGTAATCCATTTCCAGTCCCTTCTACTAAATGTGGTTGGACGGTAAAAGAGTGCAAAACACTCGAGCGGATGTTTGCGGCGCACTTTATTCGTAAAAATCACAGGCATGCCTTCTTAATTTGGAATTATAGCTTGTTAAAGGAGCCATTTTTGGTGCTCCTTTGTTTGCACTCAACTACTCAAAGCCGCGCTAATCAATATTTTTATGCTAACAATGGATCAAATGACTGTGAAGGAGTTGTTTACTGTGACAAATATCACTCGACTCTGCAGCTCCCAGAAGGTCTGTGGTGGGATTGAATGTGTTTAAAGCTCATCTTTTCCGGTTTACAGGCTGAAATTTTACTATTTTAAGTAATTCTCAGCACTTTTTTTTATTGTATTTACCATTCTGTGCCATCACTTAGTCTGACAATAATTATTATTTTGATAAATTTTTCTATTAAAGTGGTGAAATGCCAAAAAAATGTAAAAAGAAAGAAAGAAAATGACAATTTCCTGAACACGACGACAGCAAATAGCTTTTTCAGTCTAATACTCAGATGTTTGTTTTGTTCATTGGTTCTGTAAAACATATGAAAACATATGACGATGAAAAAAACAACCCTCACATATACGCAAACAGACTTTACATACATGTACCTGGATAGATGATTTCAAAGCAAAGATGAGTTTCTGCTGAAGAGGTGGGGAGATAAAAGCCGACACAAAGGCGTATTGTGAAAGCTCAAAGCAAGAGGAGCAACATTGCTACAGTGAAAGATAGAAAAACAGTCACAAAAACAAGAAAAGGACAATATATACACCTATATATAACCTATATGTAGCACAGCTTTACATTCAGATGTCCAGAGCTCATCAATGTCATCGAGAAGTCTCAGTTCCATAACAACAAAGCCATTTTTGTCCATTATGGACCAGAAACCTGGACAGAGGAAATGGTTCATATTGTCTAGTAGGACATGTATGAAGGACTGAAAAACCTGTGCTAGGATGTTGTTGGTTAAAATGCAACTTTATTTGATTAAATAACCTTTGAAATGACTGTTTTTCTGTTGCATACACAGCAGCGATTAGCAGATACGCTAAAGCTGTGACAAGCAAATGAAGAATCCAGCTAGTAGGAGTTTGTAAAGACCTAAACTAAACTGAAAATGGGGTAAATGTTGGACTTTAATTCAACAAGTCACCAGAAAAAAGAATCTGAATGAATGCTAGTGTTGCTCCCGTCTGATGTATGTGTTAAAAGGTTGCTAAGTATGTCCCCACTACTTTGTGTTGATCACTTTTCTGCAAGAATAACTCTCAATTAATAAACAAAGACCACCTATTTCCCCTGTTGGAGGTGGTGGAGACCAAAACGGAGGTAAAAAATAGTCAATCTAGCACTTGGATTTGTCAGAAAAAACAAAACAATGTTGTTAAAAGAGGAAGTGAGAGAGAAGAGCTTTCCAAACTCAAGCACTCCTTGGATTAAAATGTCTTTTTAATTATCCTGGCGTGTACCAGAACTATCAGGAAGTTGCCCGCCCGTAGTGGGGCGTCCCTTCTTGAAGGGATGGAACAAATGAGCCGAGGAAGGCAGGTCTGTGTATACAAGCTGAGTTCATCAATCATAGCGTAGGTGTCTGTTATCAGTCAAACTAGAGCTGCATCGACAATATGAAAGTTCACTTTTAGAAGAACTCGACACCTGATTGTGCATGTAAAGAGCATCCGACCCAAACAACATTCAGAATTAAGACTTTTCAATACGGAGCATGTTTGAAAATGTCTTGCTCGTGTAAAAAAAACATCTTGTTCTTGGGTAAGACTGGAATATATTAGCAGACTGGTGCATGCAAGTCTAAGACAGGATTGAACCGAATCATCTCACCTATGTATTGTGTACATGAGCTCACATGACACACGGGCTCAACTGCAGGTGATAAACTTTACCCCCGCCGTCATAAATATCCCCGGCTTGTTTATTGCATCTTATCGCTTCGCCGTGGTTGACAATGCATCATTAATTTAAGAACCTTTCTAATGAATGTGAAATGAAAGACTCTCAAGCAAGCAATTTCTCTGCACTTATCGCACAAAGAGGAGATTGTAGTGGCTGTATTTCCTGCAGTCCTTACCTGAGTGCTTGTGAAACTAGTGAGCTCTGGCGTCCCGCTTTGCTAGCCTCTCATCTTTCACCCGTGACAGAAATTACATGATTCAATGGTCCTGTGGAAGAGCTGACGGACAGCCAGCTCTAAAATGTTAATAAACACACTGTTTTATATAGCAGCCTTTCATTTTTCAACCAACAAATACAGCTTTAACCTTGTCTGCTGGCCCCCCTCCCTTCCCTCTTCCTTCAGCTTGCAGAGGTTATGGCTATACCGACATCTGCAATTCAATTCCCATCACCCCCCCCTCCCAAGTATAAAAAAAAAAAACGACATGTGTGAAAATAGTTCAAAATGAGATACAAACACAGAGAGTTCTTGTCCTTGTCACTTCTGATCTCACTGATACAGGCGCAGTATAAAAGCAAATAAAAGGATGGTTTCTGATATTCAGTGTTGTGCTTGACCTTCCAGCTGTACTTGTCCTCAAGGAAACGCTCCGGTGCAGCCCGAGGCTACGTCCACTGGGTAGAACGCCTATAGGATCCCAGACAAATGCGTCCCAACAAAGAGCTTGTTTCCATCATTACTCACTGGAATGAAAACTAAAAAAACAACTGCTGGTCACACGTGTGCACAAGAGCCGCAGACGGCAGTCCATTCATCAGCGGCGTCAATACCTGATAGTGATTTGTCTGCAGAAATGCCAAAAGTGAATTTTTTACAGCCGCCGTATTATCTCAAATAATGATATTATAGTAAATTTTGCACGGCAGCTTGTTCAGATCAATGAATGATGTGCAGCCGGAGTTTCATTATCCCCTCCTCCAGCACATCAAGTGACAAATTTGCTCTGAATATTGTTATGGGTCTTTTCATTGTGTATTGACCTTTCACTATGATGGATGCTCTTAACTACTGTAATAAGACTTACACAGTGTGTGGGAAGGTGAGGAAGGTAAAGATTACAAAAAAAAAGCAGATGTGATGCGAGACAGACGCACCGCAGCAGCTAAATCAAGTGTGAATTATGGCCTCGGCTCCTTAAGGTTTCCCATAACACATCACTGTATTTACACTTTGAACACGCGGCGGTTATTTCACACGAGGTGAAACGTGGATGTTCACAGCGGTTCTACATTATTTAATGGATCGGCTTCGTTCCTGCCTCCAAGAATGAGGGAGAAGGAAGTTAATTGCACTTTAATTACTGCTTTAATTAATGGACAGTGTCAGCACAAGGTCAATAACTTGCTGTCTGCATCAGTATCGCCAAGTGACGGATCACTGTACTTAAACTAACCACACGCTATCTATTTGAAGGCAATGCCATCTAGTGGAAGTAGCCTGCAAGTGCAAAACAAATGCACTTCTGATCACTTGTGTTTTGTTTATAGGTGGATTTAAATCATGTGTTGTATAAACATAGTCATTAACAGTTTCACTTGCAAAATAATCATAATAATTGTCTAGAAATTTAACTCTACTATGATGCAACTTACCTGAAACTGTGATGAAATACTTAAAAAATTGATTTTTGTTTGTTTGTTTCTGTCAACCAACACTCTAAAAAGTAATTAAAGGAGTCTTATCTCGTTAAACTTTGGATGAGGTGTGTGGACATAATAATGCTGATAATTAAACCAACTTAATATTGTGAGTAATTTAAAGTGACATTTCTGTGTTAATTGAATTAAACCTAAATTCATCTATTAAATTGTCTTGATAAGTTAAAATTTTCTCAATCTTAAGTTCAGACTTTCAAATCCTTTAAAACAGGGGTTTTCAACTGGTCTCACCCTGGGACCCACATTTTCCCATGGTCATTAAGTCGTGACCCAGTTTTTTTTTTAGATCAAATTGATATCCTGATTCCAGCATAGAGAACTAATAGTTGGCTATTCGGCTATTTGGGTCCAGCCCTAGTATGAAAATCCACATTTTAAATACTCTGGGTCATATCTGCGCTTTGCCATCTTGCATCCCAACATCAACACAAACTTAAAATGAACATCAAACAAACTATGGTTACCATGCCTGTCAAAATAAAAGTTTTTTTTATTTAAAATAGAAAGCAAGTCCAACCTGAGAGGCACATTATATAATATTTATTTTTGACCAGCTGTCCCACCCAGAACAGGTCCACGACCCACTTTTGAGTTGCGACCCACCAGTTGAGAATCACTGCTTTAAAACCAGGTTTATGCTAAAAACTGAAATTTTGAAACAGAATTTTTTTTTTGTGTGTGTGTGTGTGTTAACTGCTTTAAAACTAAATCGAAGTGGTGGTAAATGAATTAAATTGGCTTGATAAGTGTAATTTTCTCAGTTTTAAGTTCA